AATGTAAACAGATCTATATATAGGGTCTGATTGCAATTTTTTACTATTGCTAATTTCTGAAAAAATTTTCTAATTTTTTCATCTTTTCTTTGTAGCTATACTATTATTTTTGCAACACACTTCCCTTCTATACTTCTTATTGCTTTCTATGTTGCTGCTTCTTTTTATTTATTGCCACTTAAGATGTTTCTTATTATCGATTTTGCAGAAATCTTCTTTTTTCCTTCTGGCTATTTTGTGCCTGAGTGATCAGTTGGGAGAGTTGTTTCATTTTAATATTTTATTTGAATTATTAAAACTATTGTTTTAAATTATATATTTAAAACTTATTAAGCTTTAATAATTATTAACAAATTTTTTAAATATATAATTTCTAATCAAATTTAAAAATTTTTTTTAATTATTCTAAAACATAATTTTTTAATTTAAAATTAGTTAAACAAAACAAATTTAATATACTATATATACTGTATAAATTAAATTCTTAATATACTAGCTATTATTTGTTTTATATTATATAAAAAAATTTAAATCTATATAGCCTTTTAAAACTAAATTATAATGAAATAAATTTTTTTTTAATTCATTTAAACTAATAATATATAATATTAAATTTTTTTATATTTTTAAAAAGTGGCCTTTTTGGTTTTTTGATTTTTATTAATAACTTTTTTGGTAATATAATTCTGCAATCCATTACAGAAAAAGTATACAATTTGCTACATGTATAACTTTTTTATATTATATATTTAAGAAGTCTGCCCAAAGGTTCCTTATCAATTAATATATTTAATACATCTGCTTGGATATTCTATTTTAATTCTTTGAACCTACATCTGTGTTAATATTACTGAATTATGTTCAGTTTATTATCTTAAGCTTAGAACTATTTTATTTTTAAAATAAACTTATTAAAGCCTTCTGTATCTATTTTTACAACTAATATAAGTATTATTATAACAAAACCAATACTTGTAGTCAGAGTTTTATCTTAACCACTATGTTTTTGTAGAGTTCACTTGAATCTTAACATCTATTTCATAGCATATTCTTAGTACTTTAGTATATATTTGTTTGTTTTCCAGACTTCTAATTTAGATAATTTGTATAAGATTACAACTATTTTATTAGTATATTGAATAGGACCAATATTCTTTTTTTTGGTTTGTTCTAATAACTTGATTAGTAATACCTCTGAGACTTTCAATCCAAAGGTTTTTGCCTATTCAGATACTTTAATATTAGTATTCTTTTTTAATAGTTTAGTTTTTACAATAGTACTATTAAAAATCTGTACTATCTTTCTATTCAAATCTTCACAAATAGACTTTTTGTTTTCTAATTTTAATAAATTTATACAGTTATAAGGATTTATCTAAAGTTTGTACTATCTAATATTAGTTTGCATTCCTCTATATAATCAGTCATACAAATGTCTTATAACCTATTAATTATACTAATATAATTGTTATTAAAGGTATTTTAATCTAATTAATTTTTTTTTAAATATTAATGATAAGGTCATGCCTTTAACTTTATTGAAATTCAATTGAAGTTTTTACAAAGAAAAATTTGATTTTAAATTATATATGAAGAATAAAGACTTAGACATATAATCTGCAACCTAAATCTACAAGAGTGGCTAAGGCTTACCTAGTTTTGGGTTTAAGTAATAATATAAGAAAAAGTGATATAATATTTAATTCATTAGATAGTTCAAAAATTAATTTTAGTAATAATTTGTGATATTGAAATAAAAGATGAAGGTAGACTAGAAGAATGATTATGAGTTAAGTTAGTAGAAAGTGTGGTTTGAGACTGTGCAGAATGTGAAATACAGTATGGAATTCATATTTGTTTATATATTTGTTGGTTTAAGTGAAGAAGTAGTTTGATAGAAAGAGTAGTAGCAGCACAGTAAGGAATAAAACTTAATTCAATTATTAAAACAGTTGCTATAATATAAATATTACATAGGTAATTATCCAAATTTTTATTATCAATAGAATTTAAACATCCAACTTACTACTTAGAGGATTGCCAACTTATTCACTTTACTAAGTTGTCATATTACTTTTAATATCAGAATTTATTATAATTGAATTACATAATTCTGATTTATATTATAATTTGTTCAATTTTCTTAATATAAAATTTTAATTATAATAATAAAAAGCTTAATAATAATTTTAACCTTAAATATAAATATTATCTATAAAATCAGATTAATTTAATTTAGATTATATTAAAGAATTTAAGTTTCTGAAATTTAAAATTGACCTTAATCATCAAAATTTGCTAAATCCTCTTTGAATTATATATTTTTTTAATTATATAATTATTTGTAATCTAATTTTTAATAGTAATTTATTATTAAAGGTTAAATCACAAATAATTATATAATTAAAAAAAATGTATTTAATAAGAATTTAACAAATTTTAATAATTAAGATTAATCTTAAATTTTAGAAATCTAAAAAATTTTCTAATACTATCTAAATAAATTAATCTATTTTTACAAATATATTTATATTCAAAATTAAAATTATTATTAGATTTTTTATTACATTAGTCAAAAGTTTTGTATTAAAAAAATTAAACAAATTATGATATAGATTAAAATCATATAATACAATTGTCTAATATTAGATATTGTTAGTTTAAACAAATTAAACCAAAAAATTTAATATAATTTGTTTTTGAAAAACTATATAGATTTAAGTTCTTTTATATAATACAAACCAAATAATAGCCAGCATATCTATATAATTTATAAACCTTATTGCATTAAAAAAACAACTTTAAAACCCATTTTACTTTAACTGACCTGCTAATTTAGTATATTTCTTAATTGTATATCAACTTATTAGTCTAAGTAGTTGTATAGAAAATGGTATGTTTGTATAATATTTTATATTTTTTGCTCTGCACAGATGTAAAAATTCTAAGTATAAATAGAAGCCTATGTGTTAACCAGCAAGATATATAGCAAATTTTGTATAAAAGATTGCATTATAACTGTACTTTATTTTTGATTTTTTAAGTTTTACAAATCTGATATTCTAAATTTTTGAAATACTTTAAAATTTTGGTTTATTTATATCAAATTGATTTCAATTCTAATTTTTAAAAATACCATTGATTAATATAATATATCTCATTAGTATAATTTATCTCTACAAATCTTTAATAATTAATGTAAGAGTTCAATGTAAGGCTAGGTTTAACTTAAACTAATTGGATAGTCTTTGATTAATAATTAAAAATTATAATCAGCATTATTGTCTTAAATAGAACCTGATCTTATATTGATCTCTTACAATTAATAAATGCTTTATTCTTTTCTAGTTTATTTCTATATTTGTAATAATAACTAAGCCAGAATATTTCATTTAGATTCTTATCAACTGATTTTTAATAATTAATAATATTTAGTTAATCAAAAACATTAATAATCTGAGTAATTTCTTTTATTATAGATTAAAAAGTTGGAAGTACAAATAGAAAAAATACAATAAATATCATTACAGAATTATTAACATCACATAACATTGCTCAAAATAAGAATATAACAGTTATGGTTGACACATATTTAGATGACTTTTAAGAATATTAACAAATAAAAACAGATACATTAAAGAGTATTTGTTATTTTATTTTATGGGTTCAGAGTCTTTAGTAATAATTTTATTATTCTATAAAGACATACTTCTACACTGAAACTGCTTTTATAAGAGTGAAAATTCCAAACCTTTTTATAACAAATTGACAGTAAGAAGAGCATGCATAAGATCATGATTCTTCTCCCTTATTCTTATTGAATTCCAACTTATCTTTACCTTATTTGTTTAACCTTTAACCCCTTCAAACATACAACCTTTTATTACTTTAGCATTTCTCATAATCGAAATAGCACTAATGAGAAATGTTTCAGTGTCACCTTTCCTGAGGTCAGAACCCAACATCATCACCACAATTGCACCCCTTTGTCATCACCTCACATTTATCCCAATCATTATGGTGCAAACAGATAGGTCTCGATCCATATTGAGGCTTGTGTATGATCATATGGCTTACTTGGGATCTGGCGCATATGTTTCTAGTGGATTGTCATGGGTACTACCAATTAGGTAAATAGGTCACTATGATGATCACTTTCAGGTTTTGCGAGTGTTACAGTTTTACCTCTGACACTTTGATAAGTTATTGGCTTTTGTATTTGACATTTTAAACGCAAAAAAATATATGTAACCTAATTGAAAGCTAAATATAGTATAACTTACCATGAATCTATATTAAATACTGCTTCACGTAGTTTATATTAATACTTTGTGGAAAGTATATTGTGTCATTTGTATGAAGTTGCTACCTGAGTCACATATAACTAAGAATTAGCACTAAAATTAGCCCTAGCATTAGGAGATAGGCAAGGTTAGCAACATATTATTCATTTTAATTGAATTTATAAAAATCTTTTATTAATATATGTAAAAATTATTACAAATTGATAAAATATTAGAATCTATAAATATATAATATCAGACATATAAATAATATTCCAGGATCATATAAACCTTAGCAACATGTCTGGCACACCAAGAAACTAGCATGAAATGTAGCATATACCTATTATATATTATGCAAATTTATATAAATAACATTTAAACGGTAAACCTTATAAAAATAATTTTTTATACTGTACCCAGTGGCATTTCCCAAATTAATTTTTTATATGCCGCGATTGGCACACTTGCCACTTTAACGCTAATTTGTTTAGATGTCCGAATTAGCAACTAGCACGTTATTATTCACCAAACACGAGTTTCATTGGCATTTCATAATTATGTATGCAAATAAGAATCTTCAAATACGCTTAGCAATAATTTAGATCTTTTTATGCTATATAATTAAAATTTGTAGCAAACAAGGTTACCCTATAGTGATAAATATATTTAAGTGGTGAATATATAAAAAAATATTAAAGGAATGAGAGGAATAAATTACTTACAAAATTTAAGCCTGCTAATTATTTCATTCCATAATGCATTTTGTTCAATTGCCGCACGACCATCAAGTACTGAAGTATTTTCCTGAGCTCTTCTTATTAAAAACGGAATAACTTCATTTACCTTAACATTCAAATTGTCAAATTTAATTTCAGATTATTCAAAATTTATAATACATCAGGAAATATTTTTACTACCTTTCCATATGTAATATATTTATATACGGGATAACCAAGATCTCCAAGCGTGTACGTGATTTGATCACACATTCCTATATACGTAATGCAAAGTGAATTTAAATTTCTAAGAACACACACAATAAATATATATATATACGTACCATACAATTGAGCAAAATATACGGCACCAGAATTTAAATCAATTCCAAACTGTTCTAATTTTTCACATGCCTTAATTATGGTTTCTTGATTATGCGAAGCAATAATAAATGCCAAAGGGTTGTTGCTAATATTTGAATCGTGAATGCTGCCATCATTGACATTTTTAGCTTCTAAATTCTTTTTACTTTTATACAGTTCGCTTAATAAATAAGAAACAGCACCATTATAAGATTCATGGGTATCTTCTAGACTATCGTGGATAGGATCCGGATAACCTGATTCATTAGCGATCGATCTTTCACTAACCATATAGGCACCGCGAACAAGTTTTGCTGCAAATCTAACTTTGTTTCTTTGTGATAGTTCATAATCTCTTTGTAATCTTGATGGTGAATCTTTGAGATACATTTGATATGTATTAAATATTATTGGACCATTTTGAAAATTATCATCGTCAGTTAATTTATTGTATTTTAAAGATAGCCCCATTGCTATGTAATCGACTGCTGGTTGGAAATAAGTTTGTTCCGCATCTATTAATAATTTTACATTATATTGTTGCGCTGTCTTGCTAATTTGTTCAAGTCTAGTTAATAATTGATTAAAGCCTTTAATCATTTTTTGATTTAACATTGAATTTTTGATCATAAAATCCCGATTATCCAGTAAAATCTTAAAATAGTCCAATCGATTGATTAATCTATTATCAGAGTTTGCTTTATCCAAAATTCTGTCAATAAGACGTGTTTCACTTTCTCCAAAAATTTTAACAAAAAGATTTTTTAATTCAGGTTTTCTTAATGACCCATCTTGATCATTGTCGAATTGATCGAAGGCTTTGTTTAGAGAATTCAAAGTTAAAGTCAAATTTTTTAAAATTAAAGGGTCTGAAAGACCAGTAATTTTAACAGCAACAAAACTGTCAGGTTGCTTTGATATAGTTTTAATGCAACTTAAATATTCATTGGTAACTTGATTGAATTTTTCATCATTTTCAAAATCTGATGAAGTTTCATATTGATTTAAATCAGTTTCAATAGATGGACCAAGAATAGATCCAATATTATGTTTTCTTAATTTAGACATAGTATCAGTGCATTCTTTATCAGTTTCACCTCTAAAATATTATAACACTTATATTAATATATTATATTTTATAACAAAAAAACTTGAAATTTTAGCTCACCCGCAAAATTGAACAAAAAAAGTTCTTTTTATAGTCCAATACATAAGCCATGAAAGGTGCAGTTTTTCGGGTATTTTGATCAAATTTGATGCATAGTTTACTACCCATTGCATAGAAAGTAGCTTATAAACCATATATGAACGGATTAATTCGTTCATAGTCTTGTCTCGTAAAGCTACATTGCTATCTAAGAAGGTCAATATTATTAATTAAATTCACGGACAATTACGTAAATTAGAATTTGTACTACCTTCAAATGATATCGGCATGGCTTTACGCTTATAATTAGAAACGGTGGATTTATTAGATGAAGAAGAGATAAATTTATTTGAATTTATATGATTAATAGTTAAAAGATGTAGTTGAGGTTTTTTGAAAAAAAGAAGTTTCCTAATATTAGTTTTTGATAGAACTTCAGTTTCGGTGAAATTCAATCTTGAAAATTGTCTTGTATTGAAATTTTTTTTAAAAAGTGCTCGACCAAACATTATTATTTGCAATGATCAAGAATGATAAAATTTGAATAAGATAATTCTTTTACTAACCCTAATAATAGCGATACGGTAGAGTGTCTAAAGTCCGGTTGGTCCTGTTTAAGGATCATTTAAAACCCGGCATCTCACGTGGTTACTAGGGGCTACATAATATGTACAATAGAAAAATGCAACTCAATCTAAATGTGACGTTCACATGATATGTAGCCCTATTGTGATTATTTTAGCTAACTGCGGCAAATGGACAAATCAAAACCCATAAAAAGAAATTAAAAAAAGAATTTTGATACGTATTGTTGCAAATATATTATATATAATTATAAGGATATGTACAGGGCTTCAGACACTATAGTGATATGCCGGCCATTTACTGCGCCGATGCCAATTGTTTGAAGTGTCGTTTTTGATCCATCAAATTAGAATCTATCATTATAATCAATGGTTAACAATAGCAATAGATATAGACGAATAAAAATTTTAGAATCCGTTACTGTTCTATAGTCATTAAATTTAAACTTGTAGCGGTTAAAAAGTATGCATGAATATTAAGCTAAATGTCAATGAAAATACATCTAATACATCTTAACATGTCAATCGTTAATAGAAAGTTTCGGCAAAGTTGGAAAGATAGTTATCCATGGCTTGAATATGATACTTCAAGTAATCGAACGTTTTGTACTTATGTCGCACTTGTAATAAAGCAAATGCATTTGCGACAAGTGGTAAATATAACTTATTTTATTACAGACAACTAGAGATGGGACACTGCGCAGGCATTTTTTGAGGCTGCGCAGTGCAATTTTCATAATTCTGGCCAGCTTTATAA